GGGCACTGTTTTAAGGATATCACTGCTGTCATTGAAGAGTCTACCTCCCCCTTCCTCCCCAAATTTATTTCAAGCAGTCACCAAAGTACTTTGAGGACATAATGTTGAAAACGAGCCTCTTATATTAAGCGGTGTAGAGTCTCAATGGTCACTGTGGCAACGAAATTGCTGCTGCCTGACTTGGTTTGCAATAACACAAATGGAATGACCATCCTGACACTCTTCATGCTGATTGTAACAAATTCTCTGTTTTCTCCAAGACACATAGATACAAGTTTTTAGTATCTAGAAAAAATTACTCATAAAATTAAATTACTCAAATAGTATATTAAAAACTTAATTCCCCTAAAACTGAAATTTAAAAATTTATTGATTTATATGTATAAGCTATTCTGTGATTTGTACTAGAATTTTATTTCTAATGATAATCTGGTTAGAAAATGAACCAGAATGTTAAATATAGTTCTGCTAATATTCTATTTTTTTTAAGATTTATTTTATTTATTTGACAGAGTTACAGATAGAGGCAGACATATAGAGAGAGATACAGAGAGAGAGAGAGGGACACAGAAAGAGGTATTCCATCCATTGGTTCACTCCCCAGATGGCTGCAACAGCCGGAGTTGAGCTGATCTGTAGCCAGGAGCTTCCTCTGGTCTCCTACACAGGTGCCGGGGCACAAAGGCTTGGGGCATCTCCCAGTGCTTTCCCAGGTCACAACAGAGAGCTGGATTGCAAGTGGAGGAGCCAGGACTTGGCATGGCATGATTTTTTTTAGAAAGCTTTGATTTGTTTTTAATTATTTAATTTTTATTATTTTTTTGACAGGAAGAGTTAGACACTGAGAGAGAGAGAAACAGAGAGAAAGGTCTTTCTTCTGCTGGTTCACCCCCCAAATGGCCTCTATGGTTGGCGCCCTGTGCCAATCCAAAGCCAGAAGCCAGGTGCTTCCTCCTGGTCTCCCATGCGGGTGCAGGGCCCAAGCACTTGGGCTATCCTCCACTGCCTTCCAGGCCCACAGCAGAGAGCTGGACGGGAAGAGGAGCAACCAGGACTAGAACCCAGCACCCGTATGGGATGCCGGCACCACAGGCAGAGGATTAACCAAGTGAGTCACGGCGCTGGCCCCTAGAAAGCTTTGATTTATAAATATAAATTTCATAGCTACAGCTTTTGGAATATAGTGGTGATTTCTTAAAATGTTATACAATCTCATAAATAGCAGGTATGAATTTTTTTAAAATTTCCATTCATTTTTATTTAACTTGCAGAGAGAGAATGAGACAGATAGAGATCTTCCATCCATTGGTCCATTCCCCACATGTCTGTAACAACTGAGGTTGGACCAAGAGGAAGCCAGGATTTGAATCTGAATCCAGATTAACCCCAAGGGCTTCAACCTGCTGTGTCCAGGGAATTTGTAATTGGAAGTAGAGTCAGGACTCAAACCAGGTACTCCAATATGAGAAACCAGTGTCCCCACGGCATCTTAACTGCTGTTCCAAACATTCATCCTGGCAGGGATGACTTCCTTAACTGTATTATATAATGTCTGCTATATGGCATATCCATATACTATGTAGAGACAGAAGAAAATAAACAAATTCCCTTATGTATACATGAATATGTACAACACATAATACACACCTATGTATAACTTTGTCATCCAATAGAAATATTATAGTGTCAGTCCTAAAAAGGGTGTTACCATGTCACTCAGATACCAAGTCTGGAGCTATGCTTTTCATAACAAGGACAGGTAACAGATCATGAGCCATAAAACAAGTTTGACAGCACTGACCAAGATGACCACAACATACATAAAGGTTAGAAGGATGGAGTAGTTGGAAGGCTGTATGAGACAGTGTGCTATGCCACCAGGCAGCTGTCCTCTGGTGCAACAAGTCAGCTATTTTCAGTAGTTCAAGCTACGTTCAAGTTCGATAGTCTCTCAGACAATGTGTCATCATAGCAGTCAGTCATCAGCTGGTGGCATGATCTTCACACAACACGCAGCACTGAGCTCCACTTTAGTAATCTCCGATTCATAGTTTTCACTTATTTTTTTTTTTTTAAGTAGTAGGTACAGAAGACTCCTGACATAGAATGCTAATTGTAGTAGTCACTTCAAAGCACTGCTAAAAGGATAAAATTAAATACTATAAGCAATGCCCGTAGCACAAATATGCATCACATAGTAAGGCTGGAGCCACTTTGCTAGTGATGGAGTCCAACTAATCAACATCTGTCATGGGAGAGAAGTGGGGTTGTCTTTGCACAAGAAAGAATTCAGGCATGAGACAGAAAGCAAAGTAGCAAGGTTTTATTGGGGACAGGGCATCTGTCAGAAGGGAAGGCGACAGAATGCCACCAGTCACTCAGACTGGGGAAAAGCAAGGTTACATGGTTAAATGGAGAGAATATACCTGGCAGGCCAGGCGGGAGGCTCAGAAGAGAGCGGAGAGAGCAGAGAGCACAGTCTGTTAGACTTAGGACTTAAAAAGGAAGGGTCCAGTTGTTCACACCTCTCTCTACCTCTTCCCCTTTCTCTCCTCCAGGACAAAGGGTTTGCTGATTGTAAATTAAGAAATTCCTTCCCAAGTTTATCACTGGTGTTATCAGACAGAGGAATCTTGCTGACACCAGGCTGAGGGGTTTCCCTAGGGTGTCTGCCTCAGAGGAGAATACAAAGGCTTTATTGGTCAGTGTTATCAGGCCAGGCAACCCATCTGGTCCTGAGCAGAGAGCTTTCCCATGGAGGGGAGGGGTGGGACCACCTAGAAGGGTATCAGGGTCTAGGTACAACTTTGAAATACAGATGTTGGGCTGCTTCCAAGGTGGGTTTCTATAGATGCTGGTTTCCTCAGGCCCCTCTCACACACACAGGCTAATTTCTAACTTCCTACCTAACACATCCAGTTTCTGTTAGCTGAGACTCTGGACATTTTCAAATTCTCTAGAATTTATCTGTTAGGAAGCACAGAGTTGACACTTCAATTCAAAATATGAAGACTATTTACTTCCTTTTGGTTCACTTGAATAAATTCAGTCACAGCACAAAGTTAGTAATATATTTTTACTGAACTGGAATATTCAACTTCACATGGAAGCACATTTTACAAAATTCACTTTTTATAGGAAACTTTAATTTAATAAATATAAATTTTGAAAGTACAACTTTTGGATTATAGCAGTTCCACCCCCCATAACCACCCTCCTACCTGCAAACCATCCCGCCTCCTACTCCCTCTCCCATCCTATTCTTAAGATTCATTTTTTAAATTTTTTTTATTTTTTTTTTTGACAGGCAGAGTGGACAGTGAGAGAGAGAGACAGAGAGAAAGGTCTTCCTTTTGCCGTTGGTTCACCCTCCAATGGCCGCTGCGGCCGGCGTGCTGCGGCCGGCGCACCGCACTGATCCGATGGCAGGAGCCAGGTACTTCTCCTGGTCTCCCATGGGGTGCAGGGCCCAAGCACTTGGGCCATCCTCCACTGCACTCCCTGGCCACAGCAGAGAGATGGCCTGGAAGAGGGGCAACCCAGCAGAATCCGGTGCCCCAACCGGGACTAGAACCCGGTATGCCGGCGCCGCAAAGCAGAGGATTAGCCTAGTGAGCCAGCCGCGGCGCCAGCCCAAGATTCATTTTTAATTATCTTTATATACAGAAGATCAATTTAGCATATACTAAATAAAGATTTCAACAGTTTGCACCCACATAGATACACACAGTATAAAGTACTGTTTGAGGACTAGTTTTACCGTTAATTCTCATAGTACAACGAAATTCTCTTTAAAAACCTTATACTGTTATAATATTTCCAATAAAGACAGACCTTCAATTTCATGCTCCCATTTTCTGTTAGTCCAGATTATGCATTTCCTGAATATGTCCTTGTACTAATCTGCCAGCTCTGAACATAGCATCCATCATACTGTACTGTCATCTCTTGCTCTCCTTTTCTGTGTCCCCACTTTGTGGACTATGTGGAGAAAGGACCATGTCTTCCTCAGCCCCGTGTGGCCCTGAAACTTGACTCAGTCCTTGGTACACAGTCCATGTTCACTAAATGTTAGCTCAGTGAATACACTCAATCACACAGAAACCACTGTTAAGCAACAGAGATTGGCTCAATAAATGTCACAGAGAGGCCAGGAGGCATTCAAAAATATAATGAGCTACTAAGAGAGAAAGAAAATTCTCCACAATGATAGGAATTTAAATACAAACAGCACTATGACAAGGAAACTACATTATTCATTAATTGGTCAACTGGATGAACTCAGATCCCTCCAACTCTAAAATTCTGCCATTCATGGACTCCTGGGAATATATATGCAAAGGAGATACAATCAGTATATGAAAGATACATCTTCAGGCCCATATTTATACCAACTCAAGTCACATTAACTAAGATATAGAATCAACCTAGTTGCCCACCAACTGATGACTGAATAAGAAAATCTGGTATATCACAACGCACAATTATTTGGCCATAAAAAAGAATGAAATACTGTCACTTGCAACAAAATGGATGCAACTGGAGATCATTACTCATGGTAAAATAAACCAAACACAGAAAGGCTTATTTTCATTTGTAGCAGTTAACAGAGAGAGAGTATTAGAATGATCCTGTGGGGGAAACAGGACACACAGCAGACTCATAGAATGGCAGCACTCCTGCATCAGAATCAACCCTTGGGACATTCGGATCTGGCTAAAAGGTCCATGAGAGTCTCACAGGCATGGAAAGCCATGACACAGTGGCAAAAAACAATCTAAATGAAAGATCCTGGTGAACAAGACCCCAGCAGAAGGAACAGGCCATCAAGGAGAGAGGCGCCTTTCTCTGAAGGGAGGGAGGAATCTCCACTGTGATACAGCCTTGGCTAAACAAGTTCAGAGTCGGTGAACTCAAGGGGCTTCCATAGCCAAGACAGCTCATAGCAAGAGTCTCGGGTGATTGCTGACGTCATAAATAACAGTGCCAATTGTTAAATCAACAATGGGAGTCACTGGGTACATGCTCCCCACGTAGGATCTCTGTCCTTAATGTGTTCTACTATGAAACTTAAAAACAACACTACTAGTCGAACAATACCCTATACCTTGTGCGGTTGTGTGAGTGCAGCCTGTTGAAATCCTTGCTTAGTATATACTAAGTTGATCTTCAGTATATGAAGGTAATTGAAAATGAAACTTGATGAAGGGCGGGATGGGAGAGGGAGTGGGAGAGGGGAGGGCCACGGGAGGGAGGGAGGTTGGCGGGGGGCGGGGGGAGCCACATACAAAAGCTGCACTTTGTAAATTCACATTTATTAAATAAAAAATAACTATATAACAAACAAACAAAAAGAAACAGAAAAAAAAGAACGTAATACTTTACCCTTTTAGTATTTTTTATGTTCTACTTAAAACTATTGGTTGAACTCTGTAATTAATACACAATTACTCTTAGGTGTTTAATTAATGCTGTAACTAGTACTCAAATAGTATTTTACACCTTGTGTTTCTGTGTGGGTGCAAACTGTTGAAATCTTTACTTAATATATGCAAAATTGATCTTCTATATATAAAGATAATTGAAAATTAATCTTGATATGAATGGAAGGGGAGAAGGAGTGGGAGAGGGGAGTGTTGTGGGTGGGAGGGAAGTTTTGGCAGGGGAAGCTATTGTAATCCATAAGCTGTACTTTGGAAATTTATGTTCATTAAATAAAATAAAAAAAAGAAAAAGCAATGGTTTGAAATAAAAAAAAATATTGCAGGGGAAGAGCAAACTGTTGGAAGCAAAGAATGTCTGGCAAACACAGCAGGAACGCTGTGCAAGACCCTACCACCCCTGCCATTTATTTATTGTATACCAACTCGGGATTTTCCCTGGAGAAACCACGATACAGTTGTCCCTCCACATCCAAGAAGAATTGTCCTAGCACCTACCTCAGACACCAAAATCCGCAGATGTTCAACCTAAGCACACCATCTCTAGGTTACTGATAATTCCTACTACAATGGAAATGCTTTGAAATAGATCGCTGTGCTGTATTGTTTAGGGAATAATGAGAAGAAAATTGACACACTTTTTCCCCAAATTTCTTCAATTCTTGTTAGTTGAACCTGTGGGTATGCAATCCACATGTATAGAGTCAACTGTACAATGAAAATAATAAGACATCACATCATGATTATGTGATAAATGACTATATAATAAAATAATAACAAATCAGAAAACAAACAAACAAAAACATTATAATGTTTAAAGAAACAAAAATGCTAAACTCATCTGGTCTGATCTTCCCACACTGAATATGTACGTTGACTCACCACACTGTGCTCCATGATTATGTACAATTAAAACAGAAAATAAAGCCATGCATTTTTATTGTAATCACTCTGCATGTTGACTAAAGTTCATTGTGTGTCTCCTTTTAGTACTTATTTGTATTTAAAATAGCAGATTCAATAAAGACCTAGATAACATTACAGAAACAATACGTTCTGAGCCTCCCAGGGAGCTGCATGATCTGTGCCATCATTAGCCAATTCATGATCACAAGTGTCAGAACAGAAAGCAGTCTTGGACATATGTGAAACGTACAGGCATTACCTCTAATCAGGTAAGAAATCTTTTAGGAAACAAGGTGTTAGCTTAACAAGAAAACTCTTGATTGAATGGAGAAAAGCAGAAAACAAAATCAAACAGCTTCCAAAATCGTTAACATCCACAGATGCCTTCTCATGCGCCACCACCTGTGATCTCTGCTGCAGGGTGCTGGCTCCCATGTACATACCCCACTGCTGCTGGAAACAAGCTGTTTCCCACCAGGCATATCCATTCATCATTTGAGCAAAGTCTCAAATACTACACTGATGGACAACATAAGGCAGAAAAGCTGCGGTCAGCCACCTGCACTTAGCAAATACTTTGTTCCCGAAATACTGCTGTAAATTAAAACTAGATTTGAAATGCGTCGGAGAAAGGGCTGTCATTGACTGAACTGTATTAGTCAAAATGCAGTCATCATGAAGTCAACTTAGATACTGCATCTCGATTATAAAATAGAACAAAATGCTTTTGGAAAAATAGGGGGAACCGCTGTTCGTTGATATGAATTATGCTCAAATGGCTAACTAATGTTGGGGAATGATTCCTTCCTTACCTTGGGGCTCATCTCATGAAATTGGGCCAGTGAGAAGCCACAGGAAAATATTCCTGCTATTTGTTCTAGAGAACCCATGCAATTTAACCTCCACAGGAAGACACGGCTCCATGCTACTCAGGAAAGTAACCAGCAATTCTTTCCTTTGGAGCATTTGTTAGACAATCACCAGGTTGTGGCACAGTGGGTTAATCTGCTGCCTGTGATGCTGGCATCCCACATGGGTGCAGGTTCAAATCCTGGCTCTTCCACTTCCTATTCAGCTCCCTGCTACTAGTCCGAGCAAAGTAGCAGAGGATGGCCCAAGTACCTGAGCTCCTGCCACCCACATGGAAGAGCCCAAAGAAGCTCCTGGCTTCTACTTGGCTCAGCCTTGGCCATTGCAGCCACTTGGAGAGTGACCCACCACAGGATTAAAGATCTCTCTCCCTCTGTCTCTCCCTCTTTCTCTGTAATTCTCCCAAATAAATGTTTTAAAAAAGAAAATCACCACTATTCAGAGTCATCATTACCTGCATTTATCAGGACTACTTGGCCAGTTTTCATTCTAATCACCGCGAGTTTCACAGATTTCCCATAAAAAGGGTTATCATCCAAAAGTGTCACCTGAATATAAAATCAGTGAATCCTAATGTTCTACAGACCATAACATTTCCGTTTCAGTCACTTTTTTTATTCTAAGAACAGAAGTACATCCCTCCCTGGACAAATGTCTGAATTAAATATTTCCACTAAACATAATGTGGGGAGGTGGAAGGGGGGCAGGGTGGCATAGTGGGAAACAGAAGGTATATTTATCTGTTGGTTTCTGTCTTTAATATTTCCAACAACACTTTAAATATAAAATTCTGAGAAGCATGGTGACAGGAAATTAAATGAGTGCAGAAAGGAGCTAAAAGAAGCCAGAAATAAACGTGCATTTAATAAAATCACCATGCATTTTTAACCTTATTTATTCCATGCATCAGTGCAATTCTGCAAAGCTCTCCTCAACCAACTGAAAAAAAAATGTATTTTTTATAATAATGGTCAAAGGGGGCAGTCCCGAAAAGTCGGTATCCACATTTATGATACATTTGTGCTACAGAATCCATTTACACTAAGGAAGATTATCTCCATTTGACCAGAACCTTCTCATTTCAGTCACGTTCTTGAATTCGCCTTCAAATTTACCAAGCCCCAAAATTTATGTGCCATTAATTCAGGCAGTAAAGAACCCCAGTTTGGACTAGAAAAAAATGGGCTATCTCAGCACTTTAAAACTTCATTTGCCTCAGACCTAACCTGCTATTTTCATCTCCTACTTCTCCTGATTAAGCTAACACTAGCCCTAAGAACATTACCTTTTTTTTAAGATTTTTATTTATTTTTTACTTGAGAATCATAGTTACACATAGAGAGGAAAGGCAAAGACAGAGAGAGAGGTCTTCCATCTGCTGGTTCACTCCCCAGTTGACTGCAATGGCTGGAACTGTGCCAATCCAAAGCCAGGATCCAGGAGCTTCTTCCTGGTCTCCCATGCGGGTGCAGGGGCCCAAGAACTTGGGCCATCTTCTACTGCTTTCCCAGGCCATAGCAGAGAGCTGGATCAGAAGAGGAGCAGCTGGGACTAGAACCGGCGCCCATATGGGATGCTGGGGCTTCAGGCCAGGGTGTTAACCTGCTGTGCCACAGCACTGGCCCCAAGAACATTACCTTTGTTAACTTGGAAAATTTCCAGTTCTACTACCTTTTCAGTTTTGGCTTTCCAAGATTTTGGGTAGAGGCAAAGATTCCCAAAATATTCTCTGCTTTTGTTATTAAAAATACAGAAAATAAAGAGATGATAGGTAAGACTTTGGGATACCAATGTTAGGTTGCTAATAGACAGCTATAGAACACCTTCCAAGTCAAAGTGTTTCCATCTATAACTTAAAGGAAGAGGTTCCCTTTACAAATAGATATAGGAGATTTGATTGTCAGAGCTTACGTCTTTAGAAGCTGCAAAAATTGCCCAAAAGCTGAATGTTTAGATTTTCTGGCTCTTTCTGTATGGCTTCTAACTATTTTTCTTTTTTTATGATTTTATTTTTTTGAGAGTTAGAGTTATAGACAGTGAGAGGGAGAGACAGAAATGTCTTCCACCTGCTGGTTCACTCCCCAAATGGCCACAATGGCCAGAGATGGGCTGATCCAAAGTCAGGAGCCAGGAGATTCTTCTAAGTCTCCCACTTGGGTGCAGGGGCCCAGGCACTTGAGCCATCTTCTACTGCTTTCCCAGGCCACAGCAGAGAGTTGGATCAGAAGTAGAGCAGCCAGGTTAGAACTGGTGCCCACATGGGATGCCAGCAAAACAGATGGAGGATTAACCTACTGTGCCACAGCACCAGTCCCGTTTCTAACTATTTTTCTACACGTTATATAAGTTCTACATTGTGAGAGAACACATAATGATATATACTGGTTCTATTTAACTCTATTTTATTTTTTTAGAGCAAACAAAACCACAACAAAAACAAAAACAAAGCAACCACAAAAAAAATTTTGTCCAAAAAAGAAAACCATGAGGTCACTGTACATGAGCACATATAATATAAAAATTTGGGTAACCTCCTGGATTAGTTCTATTTAAAATATTCTATTTCATTTCATCAGGTTTCAATTGATTTTTTAATCATAAATATTTTAAACTACTTATAATGAATTATATTGATGTTGGCCATGAAAAGAGTTGACAAGTGAATTAACTGGTTTTCAGATTTTCCAAGTCTGAACCACTGATGCAGCAAATTCCCTCCCCACTGTGAATAGTATGATATTTAAAGTTTGTCCAAAAGCAAACAAGTCAGGTGAATCACAAGTGAAAACACCTCACTAGGCAAGTCAAATGAGCATTTATACATTAAAACATTTCATCAGTATCTGATGCGAGGGTTTTAGAGAACAAGCTTGAGGTGACGCGGAAAAACAACAACAACAACAACAACAACAACAACAAAGACAGAATCCCTTCCCCCAAAGAATACGCAGCCTAGAAGCAAAAACAGAAGCAAAAGCCAGGACATATGGTGCGGACTACCAGACAGAAATCCAGGTAGATTACAAAGCCATCAAAGATAGGCCCTTTAGCCACAGGGAATTTCCAGGGTAGATGAATCATCTGTGGATCTTGGTTCCAAGGAGATGAGCAAGGTACGACTGGGCGACAGGACAAGTAAGGCAAACCAATGAGCAGAAGAAAGGAGTATTTGAGGAAATAAGATTTAAACCAAGAATTTAAAAAATGGCGGTCGCAAACAGGAAAAAATTCAAAAGGTAAACAGTTTCAGAACATAAAATGCCTCAAATAAAATGCTGTTCATTTTTCCACTTGTATTCCTCAACGCCCAATAAAGCATTGCTGTTTAATCTCTTTACTGTATTCAAAAGGATTGGAGAGGGGCCGGTACTGTGGCATAGTGGGTAAAGCTGCTGCCTGCAGTGCCGGCATCCCATATAGGCGCTGGTTCAAGTCCTGGCTGCTCCTTTTCCAATCCAGCTCCCTGCTGTGGCCTGGGAAAGCAGTAGAAGATGGCTCAAGTCCTTGGGCCCCTGCACTCACATGGGAGACCCAGAGGAAGCTCCTGGGTCCTGGCTTCAGATCAGTGCAGTTCTGGTTGTTGCGGCCAACTGGGGAGTGAACCAGTGGATGGAAGCTCTCTCTCTCTCTGCCTCTCCTCTCTCTGTGTAACTCTGACTTTCAAATAAATAAAAATTTTTTCAAAAGGACTGGAGAAGTTTATTCTAAATGTCTTATATAGAATAAATTTATTCCGCCTACTAACTTCCATCTCAAAGCAAGTTCTACCGTCACAGCAAATCGTATCTGTAGCCGATACTTGACAAGCTTTCTACTTGGATTGTGCTGTTTAATCATATGAAGTGAAAAATCAACCTACTTCCTCTCTTTCAGTGCAGTTAGGCATCAAGTCTTCAATCAAGTTGTACAGTGAGAAAAAAAAAAACTTACTATGTCAGTAGTTTTCTACTATTTTAACATCTGACCTTTAACTTCAAGAATCCACACCATTTCCCAAGTATACTTAATGAATTCAAGGATCACAAATACCTGTATTTCGGTTTTGGGTCCAGTCATAAAGTGCATGTGTTATGTATGTATATATGTGTATACATATGTATATTCCAAGAATGAGATCATATATATATGCTACCCCTGGGTCACTGCTCAGCAGCGTAAGCAGTAAGATGG